GCCAACTACTCTCGATTGCTCTGACTTGACAACGTCATCCATGATGATCTGCCCATAGTTGTCAGCCCCTAGTATGATGTCGATTGGTTCAGGCCTAAGATAATGGGGATCGGCTAGCTGAAGATTCTGAAGTGAGCCAATCCTCGCTGATGAGCATGAAAATGACGGAATTATTGTGGTGAGCTTCTTTAGAATGTGGGCGTTGAGTTGCAGTTGATGAGTCCCACTGTTCGATTGTAGAGTGACTGAAACTATTCCTCTGGTGTATCCTGAATTAATTCCACCAATTCCCACTAGGTCCTCTGTTGATGCCCTTCTCTGTAAATGCAGTTGATTAACTAATTGTTCGGAGATAAACGATACCTCTGAACCCTGGTCGATGAGTGCTCTGGCTTTTGTCGTGAATCCTCTCGGTGATATGACTTTTACTCGTGCTGTTGCCAACAGCACTGACTGTTGATCTGCTTCTCCTTGGTGAGTTTCGTGGTTGATGTTTTCTGCTTTCTCATTGATCATTTTGTTGTTGAAGTTCACTGCTACTGGTGGTGATGTACTGAATTCTAATATTGAGGAATGATCAATGAGATGGTGAGTGTGCTATTGCGATTGAATTCATTCACTCACTGTTCCCGTGATCTTCTGGCTGCCTGGATGTTCCAGCAGTCTGGACGGGTTCAGCTTGAGTGCGTCTGGCTGGAGGCGGGCTCATCGTCCATGAACTCCCTCCATGGATGAGAGTGTGGTGATATCTGCTACATTTGTGGCACTTCTTTTCCGACGTGCACTTCGCCTTCGTGTGTGGCCCCAAGCAGTTGAAGCACAGCCCCTTGTTGATAACGACGTCGTTTCTCTTCGCTGGGGTGAGCTCGATGAACTTCTGACAGGATGCGATAAAATGCTTGTCCTGACAGTAAGCACAGCAGTTCCTAGGAAGTTGTCTTTCTGGCTCCTTAATTTCCTGCTGTTGAGTTGCTGCCGTATAGGTGCTCCTTTTCTTTATAGGAGCTGACTTCTTCGTAGCTGCGTTGAGTTCCTTTGATGATAGCAGCTTGGCACCTGCGTTGATCCCTCTGCCGCAGGCCTCGATGAACGCCACGAACTCCTTAAGGCTCGGGAAATCCTTTGAGTCTCCCAGCTTTAGTTCCCATTGCTTGAGTGTCTCTGCATCAAGAGATCTCCTCAGTAGATGGGCTATCAGCTGTTCAGCGATGTTGTCTGTCGTCAGCCCCGTCACGTCTTGTAATTGATCTAGGGTCTCCAATGCTGCTGCTCCGTTGGCGCTGAGGTTCTCTTCTGTTGCTTGGGTGATTTTCGGCAGCGTCAGGATCCTGTTGAATAACGACTGAGCGACGAGTCTAGGGTCTTCGTACTTCCTGGTGAGTTTCTGCCAAGCCTTGTCGTAGTTTTCGTCCTTGGCCTGAAAGGTGGAGAGGAGAGCTGCTGCTGGACCTCTCAGGCATCCCTTAAGTCTCACCAATTTCTGTACTGGTGGAATTGACGTGACATTTCCCACCAGTGACAAGAAAAGGTCACTGAACTCCTTCCATTCTTCCGGTTTCCCATCGAATGGCTTGATGTCAAGACGTTTCAGCTGATTTGCCTGGCTTTGATCTGTTGAGCTGCTGACTGAATCCCTTTTCCTTGCCAGTTGACCCTTCAGCCGAGCAATGAGCATCAGGGCTTGTCGTCTTGTTTTGGTGGCTCGTTCATGGATCCTTTCGTTCACATACTCGTGATCAGGGGGAAGAAACTCGGCTAGATTGGCATAAATCTGAAAATACTCGCTCCATTCTGCCTCAATTATCCCCTTGTGCCCGTCTAGTTCTTCTAGGGTGAGGTCCTCTTCGGTTTCAACGTCCTGCGGGAGGTCATGATAGATCTCCATCAGAGTTTCTACCTTAAACGTTAATAGTCTTAGTTGACCTTCCTGTTGCATGGTGAGTGCTGTTTTTGAAGCTGCAGGCGTTGACTTTCGTTGAGCGGGCTCCTTTGATCCTGACGATCCACTTCGACTGATGATTTCCTCATGAGTGGTGATTGGCTGCGTTGTAACTGTCTCATTTTTTGTTGACAGTTTCTCCTCTTGTGAGACTTGCTCGCTTTCCTCGCTTTCGCTCTCTGGGTGTTGAGTTTCTTCGTTGGGTTCGATGACCTTAGTGTCGTCTTCCATGGTGATTATCTGTGCTAGATTGACGGTTTGGGTGAGTTATCGGCTGTTGAATTGGGTGAGTTACCGACCGCTGAGTTGGGTGAGTTACCGACCGCCGAGTTAGGTAAGTTACCGATCGCCGAGTTAGGTGAGTCGCCTGTTGCGTGGCGCACGTGGCCAAGCGTTGGTGGGCTTCGGCGTCACTCGTCACTCCCGAACCTTCCCGATTTCCGACACTGTAACTCTCACTTTGTCCTTTGTTAACCCGACACCCTTGCGGGTGTAAACACGTCGAATGTTCTAGAAGTTTCTGTTGACGTGCCCGTGTGAACCCCGAATGTTTTTCGACACGAGGCGTCCCTTAAATTTTTCCACAGCGCTATCACACGTTTTCACCCACAATCCGGCTCGAAGGACCACTGTTTGGTGAGGAACTAGTTTAGAGTGGATGTGGGATAAAAATGTGGAGGGAGATGTTGGGAAAATTATTTAGGCGTTTTTGAAAATTATCACTATATTTGGCGTGGGATCGAACCACTTATCACAATTTCGGTACACTCTTTGGTTTCAATTATTGTTGAATGTCTAATTTTCACTGATGTTGTCCTTTTGCACCTTATCTCGTTGAGTCACTGAAATTTCTGAACTTAATCAATAAGTTGATGTACTGAACAAAATTATCAAATTTATAATACTGGTTGACTGAATACGCTAGCTCATTATCGTAACGATACTTCTACACTACTACTGACTGACTCTTCCGGGTGCCGCGCTGACCTGTGTCCGTTGACCCGAAAGTTCACGGAGATTTTCGGAGATGGCCGAGTTAGTCGACCGTAACCATTTTGGAGATTTAGGCTGTATTTCGAACAATATCTTAACGAAAAATCTACTATTCCTTTTAGATTTTGCAATATTCTTCGAAAACTGAAGGGGAAACAAAGTCGCCAGCGGTGAAATATTACAAATATTTTTCCTATTTTTATAATTCTTTATTTTCTTTTTCTTTTGATTTATCGAAATTTCTGGAAAGTCTCTAATTTTATTCGAAATTTTGAGAAAGTCCTCGGGTCCTTTTATAATCCCTCAAAATTCTTAAAATTGTTTGACATCTCCGGGACCTTTTTAAATTCTATGGAAATTGCTGAAAAGTCTCTAAATTCTCTCTGAATATTCCCAAAATCACTTGCTCCGAGAGTCACTTTGGGAGGATCGCTTGCCACGACGGTCATTTTGAGAGGGTCACTTGCAACGGGGGTCAATTGTCGAGACGGTTATTCTTTGAGAGAATCTCTCGCCACGAGGGTCAATTATCATGAGGGTTAATTCGAGAGGGTCACTTGTTACGAGGGTCGATTGTCATGAGGGTCATTTTGAGAAGGTCACTTGAGAGCCTACTTTTAGAGAGAGCATTTTTTTTCCATTGAAGAGATCGAATGCATTGTAATAATCAATTAAATCATTTCTGTGTGTGTAATACTTCATAAAATCATTCTACACGTGTGTAAAATTGACTAACACACATGTACGATTGGAGTACACATGTGTTGTTTAGCATCAGTGGAATTGTAGCGTTTTAATCAAGCTTGCCTTGGACGAACACTGTGATTTTAAAGTGTGTAGTTCGTGTATGTAATGGTGCTATTGGGGTTTGTGTAGATTGAGATGTACAGAACTGTCCTGTGTAATTCTGGTGTACATAAAGTTTGATGTGTGAGTGAAAATTATTTGGTGCAAAAAAAATAATGTGTAAGTGCAGAATGACAGTGTGGTGATTGAGATGTGAAGAATGACGGTGTGTCGATTTGACAGAGTGTAGGTGTGCGGCCTTGCCGCGTATGTATGCCTGTCTTAGGAATAGGGAATTGACATGGATCCATTCGGAAGCTTACTACCAATGGAATTGGTAGAAATAAAAGAAAGAGAAAGACTAATAAGACAAAAAGTAACAGTCGCAAGACTTCTGTCGGATAGGCTCGAACCCTTGCTTGTGTTCATCGTAAAGTTCAGAAAAGTTTCTGACGGACACCCAGTGTTAATAATTTTGGTGTTCTGAAGAATTCAGTAGCTAAATGGTGGGGGCTACGGCGGGGGCTAATGGAGAGAAAAACAAAATTTCGTTCGTCCAAAAAATTAATTTTCCGAAAATATCTCGGGATCTCAAGGAAATGGAGAAATTTTGGTATAAATCTTGTTTGAAACGTAGCTATATATTTGTCAGTCAAACGGTGGGTCCTATCGATAATCCTCGAGCACCATCGACAGCCTTCGGTTGAGCGGTCAGACGATCGCGAAAACCCCAAAAAGTAGTACATCATCAGCCTTTGTAGAATCAACGTGTCGTTCAAAGTACATCACCGCCGCATTACGTGAAAGTATATCACCTCAAATTCAGTGAATTATCAGAGACAATTATCAAGGACATTTAACGGTTATTTAACAATTCAGTACATCAACCTCTGTATTAATAATTTGAGACGCTCAATAAACTAGTTCAAACCAAGGTGTAAATTTTACGGTTAACAAAGTGATTCGATTCCACTAAAATATAGTGACGTTTTATACATCAGTGCTTCAATCAATTTCCGGCCTATCCTGAAATAACACCTCCCACATCCACCCTACAATTAGCTTCTTATTTCAAACAGTGGTCCTTCGAGCCGGATTGTGGGATTCGCATTAATGATAGTGCTGTGAAAATTAAAAAAAAGACGCCTCGTGTTGATCGAACTTTCGGGGTTCACACGAGTTATTCAACGGACAGAGTGTTGTGAAAACCACTCTCGTATTCAACGTGTTTACATTCCGTAAGGACGGCAGTGAAAACACAGTGTTAATCAGTATCTCGTGTCGTGAGTGGTAGGATGGTGGAAGTTTTTGACCATCAACGTAGCACTTCAACGCCTGAGCCGCATTACCACGTGCATCAAGCAGCAGACGAACGCCAGCACTCGGTACACTCAGCGGTCAGTAACGAACCCATACTTAGCCCAAAGCCTCACCATGTCAGAAAAAAGGTGGTCAATGACGTCAAGAAAGTCTTAGTAAATCAACAAGACATAGGGTTTGCAAAGATCATCTTCGAGGCAGCAGCTCTCATCGCTACGTTCACAGTGACGTCTGAAAATTATGAGAAGGCATGGCAGAAACTCACCAAGAGAATTATCAACATTTATCAAGGCTTACGTGAGAGGAGTCAACTCTGGCGCTAATTTTAACTGAAGTACATCACCATCAACAGTGGAGGGGAATCCAGGAACTACAGGATTGAGAGTTAAGTATCATCTTCCATTTATTATTATATTGGCAAGTGATACGTCTGTCACCCTATGTTCCTCCCCTTAGCAATCAACAACAACGAGCTCGGCGACAACTGGGGGAATTTACGCCTCTCCCAGTCGACAAAGGGCTTACCAGAAGAAAGAACAATACCAGCATGAGGTTCCAGTCTCACCAAAGGGGGGCGCGGACTTCAGATCAACAGTCAGCTCTTCAGCTATATCTCCAAAAGAGATCTTCAACAGATTTAGCAGAGATCGCCACTCTAGACGAAATTTAAACAGCCGATTCAAATAATCAACAGACTGGTCCAATCAACATTAGCTGAGGGATCGGTATCACCTCTACTTATCATGGGCACAGTTGATTTCGGGACAAATGATCACAAATTTGATCATATGGACAAGACACCACATCCTTCTATCACAAGCTGTTTTGATCACGGGACAATAACAGAGAATAATATAGTGGTATTTAAAGGTAGAGAAGTTATTATTCCGCATTATTTTTAAATCGATTTCAGTTGTCGTTTAGTTTGGATGGGGTGTTACATGGACAAGTCACCACAAATTCTTCTATCACAAGTTACTTCGATCACGGGATAATAACAGAGAATAATATAGTGGTATTTAAAGGTAGGGAAGTTATTATTTCGCATTACTTTTCACTCGATTTCAGTTATCATTTTGTTTTGATGTGGTGTATATGTAACCGTGCGTCATGCCTCTGCACTTCGTTTTAAGTCAGAGGGGCTGTAAATTGTTGTTACACAAAGTTTGAATACTTCTGGGCTGAGATCTCACTATAATTCTAATGACGAGTTCGCTCTGCATATAAAAATGTCAATTGCTTTGGCATTCGTCCCTCCTACTTTCGTGGCTACAGCTTCCACCAGTTTAATTTCTTCCGAGTAGGTTGTTAATCATGATGAGTTAAAGCCTTTTGTTGATTATTTTAAAGATACTTGGATCGGAGTTCAGCGTCGTAATGGTTATACATCAGCTGGTAATGCTTCTCATCAACGTGTTGGTAGAAATCATGAGCAGTTGGGCAGATTTATCAATGCTTTGAAAGTCGAGCAAGCGTCGTCTGAAGTGATTTGGGAGCAATTTAATGCTGGCCGTCTCATTTCATCAAGGAAGTGGAAAAAATACTGTGATTACGATGCTCGTCTCTACGCGGTGGTAACGTCGTGGGTTAATGAGGGTGATGCTTTGGAGTATCTACGCGGGGTTGTTCACAATGTTTCTCCATGAGAAAGAACCATTATCCAACACAACTCAATAGATTCTAATGAATTATTAAATACTCTAAAACTTTACCCGTTCATGTTTTTCATGATTTTTTTTTCATCGTAATTAAATATACATTAAATACACTGAATTACTGATAATTTAATATTGTGTGATGTATTTTCTTGATGATCTAATTATTCTGTGATTATTTTTCCCGTGATCAATTGTCCTGAGATCAGTTGTCCTGTGATCAATAGAGGTGCAATCGAGGGATTGACAACTAAAGCGGATCATCTCGTCAAGTCCTGAAATCTTCAAGTAGTTGGCGCCAACACATAGCAATTATGGAATACTAGCAGGTATTTAATTGCATAGTTTGTTCACCGAGGGTTTCTCCAACGGCCATAAGGAAACCTGTAACGGGCAGCTGATGGAGCTTCACCAAGGTCCAGGGAGCAGGAAATATGCAAACTTAATGTAATCAACTGCACACAAAATTCAGGAGCT